TCTCACCCCAGCACAAAACCCCTTTCATCTCCCTCTGCCCCCAGATAAGATCTTGGCCTTCCAGGACTTTTCATCACCACATCTGTGATGTTACTGGAAAGGGGGGTGGGTGGTTACTGGAAGGGAAGATAGCATAGCAGTCACTAAGCTTTAGACTCCACATTAGAAAGCTAAGAGGATAAGAACACCTGTTCCCTCGGCTCCGGCTCGGCTCCGTTGGTAGGATGGATGTGAAATGCCAGGTAAACAGTAAAGTGCTACCTGAGTGAAAGGTTGCATTTCCTTGTTTCTGTCTCTGCCTTCCTGTACCAGGGCCTCCACACGCAGCAGAACAAACTAAGAACCCTGTACAGGCATCCTTGACAACAGACCGCCTGGGCTCTGGCTACATTCATCCACTTACCTAACCTCAGGCAAGTGACTTAACATCCTAGGCCTCAGTTTCTCCCATTTGAAAAATGGGGTTTATAATAGAACACACTCACTTGTTCCCCCACTCATTGCCATCAATTTGGGACCAACTCATAGCTGACTCTCAATGAGTTTCAGAAGCTGTAAAGCACACAGGAGGAGATTGCACATCTTTTCCTCCTGGATCTGCTGGTGGTTTTGAACCACTAGGTTGCATTAGCAGCACAAGTGCTGATGAACTACACCACCAGAGCTCGCTTTATAATACTAATGTTGTTTGCTGTTGTGTACTGTGGAGTCATATCTAACTCTCTGGTGGTTTTCAGAGGCAGTTAATCACATGGGAGGAGATTATTCATCCTTCTCCCATGGATCAGCTGGTGGCCTTGAACTGCACGCCTTTGGGACTGCAGCACAGCTTCGTCACTAGGCTACCAGAGCTCCCTAGCCTCAGAGACTTGATATGGCGATTAAGAATTTACACACACACACACACACACACACACACACACACACACACACACACACGCTTGTCATGATGGTAGTTGCTTCTCCCCAACACACCGGGAGGCCTGATATCTCTTTGGTGCTCGTTGGCTGTGCGGTGGGCCCTAGCCTGGCTCAGGTCCAGGCCCTCATCTTGTTGGTGTCTGCCTCAGGAGTCTATCCATTTGTCCCTATCTGGGAGGTACCAGTGTCTGCTGGGACTTGAGAAGAGCCCAGAGCTTCACAAACTCAAAGATGGAGACAAATCACTCAATTATCTGAGCAGCGCTGCTAAAATGCAGATTCTGATTAGGTTGATCTGGGTGGGGCCCAAGATTCTGCATTTCCAACAAGCTCTCAGCTGAAGCCAATGCCCCTAGACTGTGGACCTTTGAGTAGCCAGGAGTCAGAGCTCACAGTCCTGTGTTTCTGGCTTTGAGTTCCTCCCCCATGCTCTGTTGTCCAGTCCTGGTTCTCTCTGCAGTCTAGGGAAGGAGACTCTGGGTGCTGGCCCCTTCCCTCTGGTCACTGGAACTTGGGAAAAACCAGATAAATGAAAAACAGACGGGACTGAGGAGCAGGCCCAGCATTGTTGAGACGGGAGATTTTCCCAGCAGGACCCCTACCCTGAGTGTGCCCCTCAGTTTCCACCTGAGCAGGGAGTTCCCTCCCAGACTGTGTTAATTTATTTCAGCAGCCAGCCAGCGCCTGCTGCAGCAGCTGCTCTTCAAGCTTCCCAATGTAGGTCACCCCCTTTCCTAATGAGGCTGGATTCTACTGGGGCTAGAAGGGTCCTTTGGTGAGGTGTTATGGACTATAGGTGGGTGGAGGACTGTGGACTTCGAAGTTCTGGGTCTGGCCCCACATCTCCCTGATGGTCACTTCTGTGGTACCACCTCCTCTAAGATTCCTGTCTCTGCTGGGCTTGCCCTCCCTCCCTTCCTTCCTGCCATGAGACAGGCTCTGACACCCTGCAGGAAGCCCCAGAAGCTCCCCACAGAGTTCAAGGTATCTCCCATTCTGTCTCTAGGGGATATTAGGAACAGTAGGGTGGTGCCACTTCTGAAGCCCAGACCTGTGCATTGTGGGGACATGCGCAGGGAACATCTTGTTAAGAGACTGGGCATGGGTTAGGGTTAGGACCTGCCTTCTAGCCATCTACTTCACTGATTAGCTGCTTGCTGCGCAACTCTTGGCCCTTTACTGGGGCTGACACTAAGGAACAGAGATGAGTGGGGTGAGGTGGGAAAGAGGACGCCTTTTCAGCGGAAGACAGGAGCCTCAGGTGGAAAAAGGACCTGCGCTTGGGTGGGAGGGGTTCTCCACCAGCTGTCTCCCTGGAGGCACCCGAGCGGAGTGTGGGAGCAGAAGCCCGGCTGTGTCTGCAGCTTTCCTGTGGTTCTGAGCTCAGGAAAGCTCTGGGTTTAGAGACTGCCCGGGAGGGCTTTACTCTAGCCCTTCCTCCTAGGCTGGGAGCATCTCTGTACATCTGTGTCCTGGGGCCATTAGGGAATGAGAAGGCACTGGCTGTGCCACCTGAGCTTTGCCATCTGAGTATGAGTGCTGGAAGGTGGGCATGTGTGTGTGTGTGTTTGCACATGTGTGCACCTGCATATAAATGACCATATGACTGTGTGTGCGCACATATGTGTTCACACACATGTGTGCGTGTGTGTCAGCACTTGCTTAACTGCACAGCTCTCTGTGGGAGTGTGTTTGCATCACGTGCCATGTACGGAGCTCCCAGCACGTGCACCCTGCTCTGCGCACATAGTTTCTTCTTACCGGGGCCATTGCTGGGTGGCAATCTTGGGCGGTCTTCACCTACATAGCGTCGCACAGGTGCTGTGAGCCCTTGGTATGAGGGTTCTCTCTGTGGTAAGGGAGATTACTCTAAGGTCAGGATCAGAGGCTAGGAAGAGGGTAGGACTGCTGTCCCTGATGGCCACCTGTTAAGACATGTGTGAGGGGGTAGAAATATACCCTCTACAGTGAGGAAGTAATAGAATATCTTCTCACATAGTCCACAGCCTGGCCCAGGCTCAGATGTCAGGGCATCGGGAGAAAGAAACCTGTATGTGAGTTTGATGGGGCTGGGATAAGGGGGGCTTCATAGCCCTCCTGGAGACTGCCCAGGGCCCCTCCCCTCGGAGGAAACTTGCTGCTGCTTGTTCACATTGTCTGTGTGCTAGAGTCCAGGCCAGGCACCTTCACCTATACGACCTCTCAAGAGAATGTGCATTAAGTATAGTAAATGCCCATTTTCTTCCTTTAATTAAATTGCTCCTCACAGCAGTTCTGCCAAGTAAGTGTTGTGGTCATCACTTGCAGAGTAAGAAGGCTGAGAGGCAGAGTTTAAGCAGTCAGTGGATCCCTGGACAGGAATTCAGCCTGGTTCCCTCTTTGCTCTGTGAATTAGTCTGCGTGGCCCTGGGAGAGCTGCTGGATCAATAGGCTCTGCTGCTCTCAGCTCTCCTGCATGGTGTACCGCCATAGGTGGTGCAGGAGGAGAGGCCGTTGGATGCTCCCACCTCCATGTCTGTGCCGGTCTAGAGGGAGCTGTGATTTTTGTGATCCCTGTACCAGCTCCGCTAGCCTCTTCACAAACAGGCTCCTGAAGCTGGCCAGGTATGTAGAGACAAAGGGACGAGAGAGACTGGGTCCAGAGAGCAGACCCAGAGCTGCCTCACTGCAAACAGGATACCTTCACTGGGAGCAAAGCTGATCACAGACCTAGCAGCCTGTAGGGGTTACATGCTAATCTGAGCCAGCCAGAGACCGCTCCATTAATATCTCTAACATCTGTAACCTTGAAGTGGGTGTGGGTGAGGGGGGGGGAGGGAGGGAGGGAGAAGAGAAAGGGGAGAGAAGAGAGGTGACAGGAGCTACAACAGGACCCTAATGCCTGAGGGAAAACCAGCTTCTCAGGAAGCTGTTTCTGAGCTGAACACTCAAGCTTCCCGGCAGCTCCATCCACCTCCTCAGCTGTCAGCTTAACTCTGCCATTGGCTCCTACAGCTCCCAGAATTAAACAGGCCCACGGGAGGGGGGAGTGGGGAGTAGGGAGGCTGCAACCAGGAATTACCAGGGGACAAATTTGGCAGCCAAGGAAGGTCAAACTCTGGGAGCCAGCCAGGAGCAGTAAGGGGAGAAGGTGTGGGTTCAGCATACTCCTATGCTCTTTGGAAAGCTGGGGGGAGGGGGCAGATCTGGGGGTGTCAGCACAGTCCTCTCTATCTCATCTCCTACCCCAATCAAGCCAGATGCAGACTCGATGCAGCAGCATTCCTCCACTCAGCGATGGGAGCTGGGTAGGGAGTGGAGGCTCTGGTTCCCAGCTCATTGCTCTCCATGGGGTGCCTAGAGAAGGGCCTGTTTCCCACTTACAGATGATCACTGATGGGGCTTCGGCAGGGCACTTCCTGAGAGCTTAGGAAGGCTGAGTTCCCCCCTTTCTCCCCTCATTCTACAAGAAGCCTTCCTTCCCCTCCTCTCTGGCCCGCCCTCCTGCTCTTCGCTCTCAACTGCTCCTCCGTGTGTCTGTCTCTCTGGTGTATGCAGCTGCTGCAGCATGAACCCCCAAAGCTGATGAGTCTTATTATAGACCTGCTGGTAGAAGACAGAGCGCCAGGACTCACCTCTGAGGCTACGCTGGAGGGGGTGCCAGGGGGCCACCTGGCAGCCGACCTGCAGACCCTGAGAAGGGCCCAGCCACCGCTTCCTCAGGGCCCATGGTAAGAGGAGCTGGGGGCTGGAACCGTGTGAGGGCGCAGGTGCTAGCTGGTGCCACCTAAGGAGGAGAGCTGCCCTCCCATTTCCCACCTGTGACACCAGAGAGGCTGTTCAGGAGCCAACGTTTGGGACCTGCAGCCAGGGCAGCGCCACAGGCTTGTTGGAGTGCCTTGCCCCTTGACTCCCTGTCCAATCACCTGAGAAAGGCAGAAGGTTTTTTTGCTGAATCAAAACAGTGTAGAACAGGAGAGGGAACTACAGGAGTGTAAAAAGACACCTGGGCCCTCTCGCTAAACTCTGCGCTCAAACAGACCTCCGCTGCCTGCTTCTTTCTCTCAGGATTGACAGGCCACGCGTACCAGGGTCTCCTCTCTCCCTGGAGGTGCAGGGCAGTGAGAGCCGTGGGACTCAGCACCATGCTGGCGACGGGCAGTGGCCCCGAGCAGAGGACAAGGCTTGCCCTGCACTGGAGGCAGATCTCCTGTGAGTACACTCGGACCTGGTGGGTGGTGTGTTGTGGATGCTGAAGGACCGTGCTAAAGTAGTTAGTTCTGGAATGCCCAAGGCCATGCTCTCAGAAACCACTCTGTCCACCCCACAATATTGAGATCCACAGCAACCAAAGCGAGAGTTACTTTTGAGAGCTTTAGTGGTTAGACCAGGAGTAGAAAGTAATGGGAGATGGTTCTGTCTGTTTGGTAAGCCTGCTAATTCCTTCCTGATGCTTTCTGAATTTTAAAACTCTGGTGGCTCAGTGATAAGAAGTTACACTACCAAACCAAAGGCGCATAGTTCGAATCCACCAGCTACTCTGCTGGTAAAAGATGGCAAATCTTCTCCCATGTGATTTACTGCCTCTGAAAACCTGCTGGAGGGTCAGCTATGCGTTGGTTCCCACTTTACACAGTACAAGATGAAGGAAGTCTACAAGCTTGTCCACAATGTATATAACAGCTTGGTGGGAGCAGAGAGAGGCTGTCTGTACCTGAACTCACTAGTGGTTCCAGCTCATGCTGAAACTTTGGGGAGCTGTGTCCTTGTCTTGCCTCAGCCATCAGCTGGGAGTTCCTTCTCGACTTTTTTATATCTATCTCAATCTTCCTGACTTGAAAATGGAAGTGGACCCTTGGAATATGGTACTGGAAGGACATTCAGGACCTAGTCCAGCTCCCCATTCTGTGCCTGGGGAAACTGAGATCCTAAATGTCTCTTAAAAAGGAAAAGATGTTAATGAAAGCAAAACTTCTGAGTTGTTGGGAATGGACACTTCCTGAGAATTCTCTTTACCTGAGGTAAAGGAAGAGGTCAGTGTGCGCTTGTTTGCTCAAGGTTACATAATATGAGGTAAGAAACAGTCTGGAGGGACTGCATTCAGCCTGAGTTCTGCCCTCTCTTCAGCCAGGTCTCTGATCCAGCTGTCCCACTACATAGACCAACTGAATTATTCACCACCTGGGCATGGCTGGCTGATCCCTGAGCACCTCGGATCCCCTTTCAACCTCATTCTAGGATCATTCAACACCTCACAATAACATTAGGCTTTACTGTCATCAGCATTTTGGTCACCTGGATTTCCAGAGGAGGAAGACTGGGAGCTAACTATTTTGAAAATGCTTTCTCTTTCCCCTGATGCCAGTTCATTCTGGGGGTGGAGAGGAGAGGAGGCTGGGAGACAGAAGCATCTAGTTATGTTGATCCTTTCAGAGGGAAGGTGGAGAGGTTGAATTTCTTTCTGAGGAAATGAAACACTGAAGAATGTTATCTTTCAACTGGTATAAGCTGGCTTGGTCAGGTGGGCTCAGAGAGGTTAGAGGGTGAGAGGTAGCTGCAGATGACCCCACATGGCCAGGGAGGATCTCCAATTTGCCTCTGTTACCATGACTGTGCTCATTTCCCATCAAGAACAAACGGGTCTCAGGTGTCAGCCTTACAGTGTGTCTCTCAACTGTCATCAATCCCCTTGTACTTTCAAACCCTGCCCTTTGGGACACAAGACACCTTCCAGAGAAAAGTATCAGAACAGTACCTTCCAGGTACCCAGGTCAGCTTAGCCACTGGCTTTCTGGGTGGAACCAGCTGGACAGTGATCTGGGGTCTGAATCTCTCTAATACCCCTCCAGTTGATGTCTCCTGTAAGCTTAGTGGAGTTGAACTTGGTTGGCTGACCTGCTGGGGCTGAGCAATCTCGAGTTCATTCCTTTTCCTGCTCTCAGCAAGCAGGCTTCTCTGGTGCTCAAGAGAACTGTTAAAGAGAGGCATGAGACCCCTCTGAGAAAGAGCTTCTCAACAGAGGAATGAGCTGCTCTGTGGTGGTTATTCTCTGAGGGTCACGTCTCCAGTCTTTCCGTCAAATAGAGCCCATATTTGCCAGCCAGAGGAGTCTTGCAAAAGATGGAACCAGTTAGGAAATGCTGTTAATGGCTCCACTGTGCAGAAATGTTATTCTGGAGCTGTCAGAATTGGACGCTAAGGGCTTGGATGGTTTTAAGATGAGAAAAAGTATGATACTTAACCTGGTCCCTGTGATTTCCAGTGGCCCCGGGACCTGGTTGTTCTTCAGTGTTGAAATGAAACTGTGTATCCTATCCTTGTCATTCTCACATTGCTCTCCTGAGTGGGACTCCCTAGGGGGGCTTGGATGCCTTATCCTCATACCAAATTACTGGCCTCATTTTGGATCTGGGGTCCATGCAAACTTTATGGCAGGTGAGAGGTTTTAGGGGGAGTGTTGGTGGCGTCTTATGCTCTCTCCTTTGCATGCAGAGCTTGGCTTAGTGCAGTGAAGCTGGGAGTTGGAGCGTCTGGTGGAGGGGAATAGAATTAGCATGGCCATTGTCTTTTAGAGAGAGAGGATCTTTTTCCTGGCACTGACCCTGGAGGAGAAGAGTGGGAGCCTGTTTCGGACATCTTTATTTCCTTATTTCTGTTACTATCTATAGAGTCAGTAGGATCCAGGCCCCAGAAGAGATCTACTGTGGGGTGTCATAAGCAGAGGTGTCCCTGTGGGTCCTGCATAGCTTCTCCTTGGGGCTTAAGCCTGGGAATCTACAGGAGCACATTCCACTAAAGGATTTCTTTGCCAGATGAGCTGCAAAGTCAGGAGTTCTGCTGACACCATGTGGTGTCCATTAATAAAGGAGTGGCTTGGAATTGCTGATGACCTTTTTACGTGGTCGACAGATATCTGTACATTGATTTTGACTTGTGTCAGAAGAAAGTAAAGCCAAGAGCCATCATGCTATGAGCCAGAATAAAAGGAAGTGGGATGGGGAGGTGGTAACCCGGGGCCTGTTGCTTTCTTTCCACCTGTCTGTGCCCCTCCCACAGGGATCACCTGCTGGATCACCCTGTATGCTGTGGAGGCCCTGCCTCCCTGCCCGTTCTCCTGTAAGTGTGACAGCCGCATCCTGGAGGTGGACTGCAGTGGCCTAGGACTCACCACGGTGCCCCCAGACTTGCCTGCTGCCACCCGAACCCTGTTGCTCTTGAACAACAAGCTGACTGTCCTGCCGAGCTGGGCTTTTGCCAACCTGTCCAGCCTGCAGCGGCTGGATTTGTCCAACAACTTCCTGGACCAGCTGCCCAGCTCCATTTTCAGGGACCTGACGAATCTGACAGAGCTGCAGCTGCGCAATAACAGCATCAGGACCCTGGACAGGGACCTGCTGCAGCACTCGCCACTCCTCCGCCACCTGGACCTGTCCATCAACGGCCTGGCCCAGCTGCCCCCTGGCCTTTTTGATGGACTCCCGGCCCTGCGCTCCCTCTCACTTCGATCCAACCTCTTGCACAACCTGGACCGGCTGACGTTCGAACCCCTGGTGAGCCTGCAGCTGTTGCAGGTGGGGGAAAACCTCTGGGAATGTGACTGTAACCTGCGTGAGTTCAAGCACTGGATGGAGTGGTTCTCCTACCGAGGTGAGTGAATAGAGCTCACCCCACATGGGGGAGGAGATTGGGAGAACCAGCCCTCGGGAGAAAAGGTGGCTGCCCTGTTCCTCTACCAGCAGGGCCAGGAGAGTCACGTGCTTCACCTCCAAATGAGGAGCTAGTAACCTTATTATTAGCAAGGCAGAGAGTCTGGGTGCTGGTCTGCCTCCTCTTTCTTCTCTGTCACTTCCAGCCTCCTTTTTTTTCTCTTTCTTATGAAGACTGATTCACTGTAACCTGATCTCACTTATGTAGGTTTAATGAAGAGACCTTAAAGACAGTATAATTTTTCTGAACAGTCGTCCACCAGATAGGCCTCTGAGCGAAGAGAAAGAGAAGTCAGCATATCTAAAAGTGCCAGCTCTGAGTTTGAATCTTGGCCTTGTCTCCTATTGTTTGTGTAATCTTAAGAAAGTTGACCAACTTCTATCTATGACAGCAACCTCACCAGTAAAACGGGAGAAGAACAAAGCATCTCTCATAGGAGTATAGTGAGGCTTAACTGAGGTAATATATGCAAAATGTCTTGGAAAGTGCCCAGCAGAAAGTAAGTCCTCAATAAAAGATACTCATCGTCAGTAGTAATCACTGTTAATATAAAATGCAGTTTGGTGCCCTGTACAGTAACTAGATGTCCAATAAATAGTTCATGAGTTAATGATTCAATATTAAGGTGATATGAAAAGATAATATTTTTCTTCAGTTTTACTATTTTCCTGTCATATCAAGTCACTCAATTATTTGCATGATAATCTTGAATGTCAGTTATTTGAAATAACTTTATAATCAATATAAAGTTCCATGGAAATGTTGTCTGCCAAATTACTTTATCTCATTTTGTGAGTTGGGAAATAACATTGTATAGTTTCCAGTTTAAAATCTATTTTTCTGCAATTATTTGTTTTAATCCTTATTGCAACTAATTGAGATAGGCCTTATTATTTTATATCTAAGCCAACTGGTACTCATAAATAACTAAATAAGTTAGAGAAACTGTACAAGGTAGATAGCCAGGATTTAATTTCAGGTTTTCTGATCAGGAAAATGGGGTCTACTCTTCTCAGCACCCATTACTGTGCCTTCCTCAAGGTGCCCCTGGATGTGTGTTTACTGGATGGCAGATTTAATGGGTCACCAGGAAGCCAGCAGCTCTAAGGAAGCAGAGGTCAAGTTCCTTAGCAAACATCCTCACCCTTGCATGCAATCATCAGGAACTGCATTCCCAGCACAAAGGGGCATGGAATGGTCATGTGGGTCCAAATACATGTGGTGGCCTACTGGCAAGAATCTCATTCTCAAATCTGCATTCTCAAAGGCACACAGTTCGGGGCCACCAGTTTCTCCATGGGAGAATGATAGGCAATCTCCTCCCATGTGACTAACTACACAGCAACATGTATTTTCAGACCTTTAAAGTAATAGAGATGTTTTCAACCTTGTGTTCCTTCTGAAAAAAATAAAATAAAATAAAAGTCCTGGGATATTTCATCAGCTTCCTGGGGAAAGACTGATGGCTACTGTGTGAGGTTTGTGGCAGCTGGGCTGGGAGAGGAAGTCAGTGATGGAGAGGCTGGAGCCCGAGGCCATTTGGCAGGTGGTCCATTGCCTGGATCTAGATTTCCTGGGAAGCTGAAAGATGGCAAACCAGTTCTATCGTTTCTTTCTTACAGGATGTCTAGGTAGTCTTTTTTCCCTTCTTTCCCATTTCTCCCTGCTCAGCATCTGTACCTCCCTGTGGTCATGCCTGCCTTTACGGTCCCACAAGGGTATTAGGGAGCACTCACCTATCTGTCCATTGCTGTCTACCCTTCACTGTCCACACCTCCTCTTTGGCACTAGCTGCTTCTCCTTTGTTCCTCATATGTCTCCAGGGTTCCTCTCAAGTTGCCTTTGCTCTTGGAGTTGTTTTGGCATGGCACTGATAGAGCCAGTGGGTCACCCTTATGGAGGAGAAAGTCTTGTCTAGCCCTTATTTTTCTCCTTACTCCAAGGAGGTTCTCTTAGGTCACCAAAGGCTTTGCATGGAAGATCAGTGAGAATGGCAGTAGCTTTTGGTTTCTGGCCTTTTCACACACACACACACACACACACACACACACACACACACACACACACACACACGAATAATTCTGGAGGACAAGATCTTATGTGGAGGAGGGTGCCCTGGGCTTACAGACAGGCAATGAACAGCCAGATTCTGGACAAGGGGCAGAACAGGGGGAAGGACTGCTGGCTCTCTCTTTGCCCTGACCACATCCTGTGAGCCAGCCTGAATCTGGAGAGGGCAGCCTTGACTGAAATGGCTGTGCTTGCCTAGAACAGGAATAATGATGATTTCCATTTACATGGCTTTTGCAAGGGTTAAAGAATGTGAACTGTGTAATTACATACCACTGTATGTGACTCAGTAAATATGAGTTTCCTTTCTCCTTTCATCTGCTAGAGATGGTGATTCCGATCTTGATCATATTGCTGATAGAAACTGTGCCATCTGGGCTTTCCATTTTGGGGGCCTGGGAATGAGGAGAGGGACTCTGGTTCTAAAGGCCTGACCCTCCTTCCTTTTTTCCTTCCGTGGATATAGGAGGACGCCTGGACCAGCTTGCTTGCACCCTACCCAAGGAACTGAAGGGCAAGGACATGCGCAACGTCCCCATGGAGATGTTCAACTACTGCTCCCAGTTGGAGGACCAGAATAGCTCTGGGCTGGATATTCCTGGGCCGCCCTGCACCAAGGCCAGCCTAGAACCTATTAAGCCCAAGCCAGGGGCTGAGCCAGAGCCGGAGTCCAGCACAGCCTGCCCCCAGAAGCAGAGGTACCGGCCAGTGAGCGTGCGGCGAGCCATTGGCACAGTGATCATTGCGGGGGTTGTCTGCGGCATCGTCTGCATCATGATGGTCGTAGCTGCCGCCTATGGCTGCATCTATGCCTCCCTCATGGCCAAGTACCATCGGGAGCTCAAGAAGCGCCAGCCCTTGATGGGGGACCCAGAGGGCGAGCATGAAGACCAGAAGCAGATCTCCTCTGTGGCATGAGATCCCACCCAAACCTGGCCCAGGTAGGAAGGACAGGGAGAGTGCACTCGGGATTGATCTAGTAAGGGCTGTCCCTTCCCTCCATCACGGTCCCGGCCTCAGCCTGACTCTGGCCACTGCTCATTCTACTCTCTCCCCAGCCTGCTAGCAAACAAGCCACAGTGTGCTGTCTCCTTGAACCGAGTGCTCCTCCAAGGCCCCCTGGAAGCTACCCTTGTGCTGAAGGCTCCTGTTGCTTCTCCTCAGTGGGCTGCCATTTTTTTTTAACATTGGAGGCATCTCTCAAAGCTTCAGGTTCTGGAGAAGGGATGCTATGTGTGTAAGAGGAGGCCTCTGGACCGAGCATTCCCCTGCCACCCTCCCCGCCCTGGGTATAGGCACAGCTAGGTAACTCTCCCTACCTCTCACTCATCCCTACCTCATCTACATTTAAGGGGTAGGAGAGAAAGTGATAGGGGGCCAGGAGATTTCCATGACTCTTTTCTATCAGGAAGATATGCTCAATCCCCTTATGAAAGGACCAGCTTTCAATTGCTGATACTAAGTACAAACACACCAACCTTGTTCTCTGGACCCAGCACTTAGAAACAATGCTGTGATTATAACGTACTCCACTGGCTGGTGCCACTCTGACCTTCTCTCTGCTAGACTACACTGCTCCTGGATTCACTAAGTCACTCTTATGCCAGCCCATAGCATCACCAGCACAACTATGTAGATGAACAAATACACACACACACACGCACACGCACATGCACACGCACACTCGGGTCCAGAGGCCATGCGTATGTGCAGTAGTGGAAGGGCATTTCCCCCTTGGATCTCTAGCTCTTAGATCACAGAACCACTTGCTCCTGCAACATTCTCGAGTCAACAGGAGGGAAACCCACACCAATAACACAAGGATTCCTTTGAGATGCTCTAAAGTGGGCCAGAGTGGTGCTGCTGGAGAGACTGCCTGTCACCATGGTAACCCACTCACACCTAGCCTGCTGGGTTTTCCGGGGACACCGGCCCAGAGGCCTCGAAGCTGCGGCATACGTGGACAGCAACCTCCCTCCTGTGAGCCCAACCACATCCACTGGGTGTTTCTTCAGTGCTGCCCAAGTATACAGCCACTGCCAGGCCCCGTGGGACACCTACCAATCCCTGTCCTATAGCCTGCAGCCTGAGACTCACTATTCTGTCTCTTTTACTCCCTCCATCTTCAGCATCTTTAGACCAGTGACCTAGGGCAGAAGGGGAGGAGGACTGTGGGCTTAGACCACGGTCTGTGGTTGGTAGCACCCTTTTAGAAAACCCATTGATAGGCAGAGAGTAGGGAGCCCTGGATGAGGCTCACTGCCAGCCCAAAGATCCCAAACAGACTCTAGGAATAGGCAGATGGCTACATTTTGATTGGAGGCTTAAAATATGGGATTTCTTTTCCCAGGTACCAAAACCATGGATGAGTGTGTTAAGGATAAAGCTTCTATCTGCTTAGTCTGTCTTCCAAAGCTTTGAACTATACCTGGACAGGGGACCAAGCCAGGGAGTGGGCAGGGGTCCTGTACTTCCCTTGCCACCCATTCACAAAGCACAGAGGGGAGGCAGGGGGCCGAGAAGTCAGCCAGACAGGGCTTTTAGTCAACAGGTCACCAGGAATTGGAATTGAGTCAGTGGCAACTGAGTTGGTGGGGTGTTTTTGTTTTTCTATTTCTTTCTTTTTGGTGAGTGGTTAACTTGCTGGAGGGCTATCTGAGAGGTTGAAGGCACCTCAGAAGAAAACCTGGCAAGCTGCTTCTGAAAGGTGACAGCTTTGAGGGCTGTGGAGCAGACCTACGCTGCCCACATGGAGGTCACCCTGAGTCAGAATCCACTCAGCGATGGGTGGATCTCCCTTCCTAGGTTGGCTCCCTCTTCCCAGTGAGTCGAATGTGGGGTGAGTACCCAGGTCTATGCTCTGCTGGAGACCAGTGTCTCTGAGACTCACAGAGGGGTGGGAGGACTCAGATGAGGCTGGTTTCTGGCTCTTGGAGGTGATGCAGGAAGAAGTTATCCAGAACACTGAAGGGCTGAGGAAAGCATCAGGACTGGCCCAGCTCCCTCTTCACCCTCCCTCCTTCCTCCCACTCACTCTCCTGGAGGGATGTGGGGGTGAGGTGGGCTGGGGGAGAGGGAGGGTGCCTGGGAGAAGAGCTTTCTCCACCCCTCTGGGACAGAGGAAGCCTCAGGCACTTGCTACTTATCAGGGTACCCTGCCTCCTTTGGCGGGGGCACAGTCTTCCTTCTTTCAGCTGATAGGCGTTCTGGGCATTTTCTAAAGGGACTGCGGGGTGGGGAGGGCATTGTCAATGGAGGCATCTTCAACCTGAGACAGATTTTTAAAGGCAAAATTATATTTCTGGTTTGTTGTTTCAGAAGAACAATAAAGACTGTATTTTCCTATGTATTTCCTGGTGTCATTGGGTGAAAAGGGGATGTCAGTGCTGGGAGAATTCCTCCGGGCCCTTCACCTCCCCCAGACAGCTGGACACAGTGCAGCAGACACTGCCCTGATATCCAGCACTCCAGAAGGCAGATGGGTAACTCCCACCTGGGGCCTCCCTTTGAGGTGCAGCTTGGAGAGAAGTGAGGGACTTGGCCCTGGATTAAAATAAGGTTCTTTAGCTATGCAGCCCAGGTTTGTGGTATGGCAGAGCCGGGAGGGCTATTTTAAATCCACCCACGCGCCAGCCTGGCAGTACAGATGCCTGGGGCTCAGGAGGTTCACTGGGGAGAGGAGAGGCTGTGGAGTGAAGAAGATGAGGCTGGGGACCCTGTAAACACCATGCGCCCTCGGGGTGCTCAACCACCATGCCTTGACGTGAATGCGCCCTGGCAGCGAGGCCAGATGGACCCATGTGGTCGGTCAGAGGCATGCGCTTGTCAGGGGCTCCCGCTGTGTGAAGGGTGTGGGGGAGGGCTCCCTGACAGCAGTAGACATCTCTGCTGACTGGGTTTGATTAGCCTTCATGAGGTTGATGGTGTTTGTTGATGTGGAAGATCTCTGTGAGCTCATGACCAGCTTGCACTTCCAACACTGACTGGAGGGACAGACAGACCATGCTCTGGGTTTATAGCTGCTGCACCTCCATGGACGCAGCAAACAGGGAATCAGAACGGTGTGGACAGGAGGGCCGAGGTGGAGACTGAGAGAGATGAGTGAGACAGAAAGGTCTCTAGGACCTGCTAGCCCACCCCTACTCTGAGTGCAGAGCAAATCTCACTGTCCGAGGTGGGAGGGTGATAGTCCTCCAGGGTTGGACTGGCCTCTGACTGGCAGGGCCTGAGCTACACAGGACATTCATTTTTCAGAATCCAAAACAGAGTTTTCTCCTGTGGTTCTGATTTCTCTACCCAGGAACCTCTCTTCCTCTCCTCCAATGACAATCCAGCAAAGCAACTGTAAGCCTCAGCTAGAGGTGACCCTTCTTTGTTGTCAAATCAGGACTGACTCACAGATGGCCCACTGGTAGGTTTTCAGAGGCAGTAAAAGGAGTTGATTCAGAGGAGTTGATTGCTCTTCCTTCTCCCCTGGAGAAGGCAAACTTAAACCCCCTTTGGATTGACAGCGCAGTTCCTTACCGCTAGGTCATCAGAGTTTTTACATATGTATGTGTGTAAGTAATGTATCTATGTATGCATATATTACTATATGAGGGACGTCATGCTTGGGAGGGTGGAGGGACAGCACAAGAGAGGAAAACACTCGATGAGATGGATTGATCAGTGACTGGGGTAATGGGGGTAAGTGTGTCAGAGACAGTGAGACTGGCTCAGGATAGAGCAGAGTTCAGAGCTGTTGTACATAGGGTTATTATGACTCAACAGCACATAACAAAAATTTATACACACACACACACACACACACACACACACATATAATTTAGAATTCAAGTTCCTGGAAGCATGCATAGGAACACTAGCAATGCAGTGGTTAAAGTTCTAGACTTCAAATCAAAAAGTTAGCAGTTCAAAACCACTAGCTACTCTGACGGAGAAAAATGTGGCAATATGTTTCCACAAAGATGTACAGCATTGGAAACCCTAGGGCTCATTATCCTCTGTCCTATAAAGTTGCTGTCAGAATTGACTTGATAGCACTGGGTATGACTTTTAGGTTTTGGGTCATTCATACTCAATGTGAACAAAGAGCACATACCGAGGTTTGAAGTGTGGTCCGTGAATAGGACAGAACTCCAGGGTGGAGAGACTTCAGGCTGTTTCAGCTAGCAGGCCTGAGCACAAAGATCTCTGTGTGCATTGGAGGACATGCCTGAGGCCCACAGGCTAGAGGTCCAGCCTATACGGTGGCATCCACTTCCTAAACAACATGCTTCTAGAAACTCTATGAATGATGATAAATGTTGATAGTTATAAAAAGGCTTCAGGCCTTTTGTTCGAAGGGTCGCTATGAGTCATGCTCAACTCGATGGCAATCAACAACAACACATATACTACATATAATGGCAACGATCTGCGTTATACAGATGATACAACCCAGCTTGCAAAAACTGAGGAGGACTTGAAGCACTTGCAGAAGTGACTTTCAGAAAGTCAAGGACTGCAGCCTTAAATATGGATTGAAGCTCAACATCAAGGGGGAAAAAAGATTTCCTATTTAATCATATTCACATAGTTGGAGATTAAAAAAGAAAAATAAATATTCTGTAGACAGTCGAAAAAAACAAAACCAAAAACAAACCAACAACAAAAACCCAAAGATTCCCACCACTGGGCTGATTGGCAGCATCATGATAGATGATGAAGAGATTCAGATTATTAACAGCTTTAGTTTGCTTGGCTCCACAATCAACACTCTTGGTATCAGCAGCCAGGAAATTAAAAGACATATTACATTGGGAAGATCTGCTGTCAGAGACTTCTCCAAAGTACTGAAAAGCAATGATGTCAGTATGGAGACTAAGGTGTGCCTGATCCAGGCCATAGTCTTTGCAATTGCTTGTTATGCATCAGAGAGCTGGACAATGTATAGGGATGATAGAAAGAGAATTGATG